CCATTTAGCAACCGTTCCTTTTAGTACTTAATTCATTTTTTCAGATCATATATAAAAAATAGGGTGGAATCGAGGGAGAAAGCATAGAGAAGGAAGGATATTATACGAATCAGGATTACATGTTTGTTGTCAAGGAAGCTAAAAACTCAGCTAAACAACCCCGATTTACATATTTGTTGAATTAATACATAAGAGTGATGTTATTTGTACCACATTGTTAATCACTTCTTTAATATAGAGGAGTCTCCCATACATTAGTGGGTCCCACCTTTTTTAGAGGGGTGGTCACTAAAGTGATCAACATAAATGAAGTGCAAATAGTAGTATTAAGTCGTCTTATTTAAGGATGACAATGTAATGCATGGAATTCACTGTTGAATCATAAGTTTCATGCTATTATATAATATTAGAGTTCAATACAAATATTTTCCGGGTCATGTAAAGGAAAAATGTTGTTGATGAATCTAGTTCTCTCAATAAGAGCACTTTAGTTTAATGGACAATACTCCAGCTGGATTTGGTTAATCTATTCATCCATTGCAAGCACAAGTACTTGTTTTCAAAACAATCCTAAGCTTTCCTTAGCCTAGTCTATGACAGCCCTAACCCTAGTGGGATTTATGCAAGAAAACAAGGGTTTCCCAAAAATATACTTTGCCTTTTCAAGTGTTTCATTTCGAGGCGACACGAGCACTTTCCCGGCGTTTCCTCCCAACTTCTGGAAACTCTCAATACACTTTCTACGGATCCTCGTGACTTTCTTTGCCCAAAAATGACCCCATTTACTTGTTCATTTTCACCACTATGCCCTTCCTTCTTCCAACGCCGTAGCTATAGTTCTATTTCTGCACACCAAGTCGAGCATGCTTGAATTTCATCATCACTGCCATCCACAATCCAAAGAAATAGTTTTTTTTATGAGAAATTGATAGATCCCACAATATATATATCCACCTCTCTTATATGCCCCTATATATGAATCTAGATGTAATATTGTAATGCATGCACCTGCTCTTCAAATCAAAGTTGTCTTAACATTTTGTTAAAACACATGAACTTGCGCAGAAACCAAATAGATTAGATTCATGATCGTCTAGGGCTATCTGCTTGCGTGCATGGTGATTGTGTTCAAGCACAAGACCATCTGGGAATCGAAGTTTGGACCATAACCTAGGAAACAAAGTTTGGAGCCGCACCTTCTCATTGATTACTTAATTTCAAATCCAAAGTCATTAATTTTTGAGGACTTGTTTTTGGGGAAACAATTAATTGTTGAAATTGGGTTGTTAATTACTCTCTGGCTCTCATGCATGAACCTAGTGAAGCCTTTTTTTTTTTTTTTTTTTTTTTTTTCCTCTCAAACTAACTAATTATTACTTAAGGTGAACTTAACTCCTTGATAAAGAAAAATTATCATGGACTATATAATTTGTATGTTCTCTCGGGTATGGCATATAGTATATATATAACTTAAGAAGTTACCAGTTTCGATCTCCGATTCCAACAAGAAAAAGAAGGTTTATACAGGGCTAGAAAGGCTAAGAACCACGAAGAGATGCCCAAACTAGTTTCCTCTTGTGGATGCAACAATGTCTTATGAACTCATTAGGTATTTGTCACGCTTCGGACTGAGGCATAGGGATTAGATTACCTTGGGAAGGAATTATGGTCTAAGATCAAAACGAAATAGGCTAGAATTAAAGGAGTGAGAGTGACATAGAATTTTGATAATTAGTCTTCGCAAATTTCAAGGACGATTGATGTGAGTGTTAGGAATTCTCTTTTTTTTTTTTTTGGTAAGGATTTTAACTCACGTGACATAGTTGTTGTTTTTTTTTTTTTTTTTCATTATAAGCTAGTCTAAACTAAATTAAATTAATATAATATATGAAGAGGGAGATTCGAACTTGAGTGCAAAGGGGCCAATTCAATGCCTTAACTAACTATCTTATATTAAACTAATATCCCGTGACAAATTTAATTACGTTCATACATCGTCGAACTCTTATCATCTTGCAGGTTACTTTACAAAATTCAACTAATATTTGGAAAAAATCGTTTGTTCTCCAACATATCATGTTCATGAACCTTGTAGAGTTACACAACCAAAATTTGAAAAAGCTCCATAGAAGCGTAAGGAGAAGAAAAGATAAAGGTTTCAACTTTGTTTTCGCATAGGAATAAATGTGGCATTAGCTCTATTGGCTAAAAAAGATGCAGCCTCTTAAATGCAAATTAAGCATCGGAGGGCAGTATAGTAAAAACAGAAGAGGAGATAGGTATCGTGGTCATACTATGGTCAAAGTTCCTTGTGTTTTTTGTGTATCTTTGTGCAAGCATGCAAACGGGATAATTGGTTCGCCTGGCTGCAAATAAAATTTCAAACCCAAAGGGGTCCCAATCCCATCAAAACAGCTGACACGTGGCACTCTAATTTGGCCGCAGAATTTGAAACGCCCTTTCAAGGCTAAGTTTTGCACCATCTTCTCTCTCTCTCTCTCTCTCTCTCTCTCTCTCATATTAACACTTTCACTCCACATTATTCAAGAAGAAAACAAACATACGCTCAGAGAAAAAAGAGAGAGAGAGGTCCTGTAGATTTCTTGAATTTACATTCTGTAATGCAGTAAGTTACCTCTTTTTCGCATTTTGTTTCAGCTTGGTTCTTATAAACTCTGCTTATATGAGTTGTATTGAAGCTTGTGGGAACAAAAGGGTTAATATTTGGTGTTTATTTTTGTTTTGCAGTTTTTGGTTCAAGGGTTTTCTGCTTTTTATAAATTAAAAAAAATAGTTGAAAGAGGTTGAAGAAAGCGATAGAAGTGGGTTGCTGCCCCCTTATTGTGGCGCACTTCAGTCAAATAGGATTATATTTATGTACAAGAATATGGCGGGAACCGTGTCATCAACAATGGCAGGTGATTTTATTTATTTGGTAACTTTTGTTTCTTTTTCTTTTTTGTAGAATAATTTGGGGCTAGAAGATGCCTACTTTTGGTACCAGTAAATGAGTATAGTCTGAGTTCTGAAAACTCTCTGAACATGCAGTGGATCAGCTGGGAAAAGACGACCATTGATTCAACTGATTAGAAAACCAACTGTCTACTTGAATCATATAAAAATTGAAATAATCCAAAGTTTTGAAAAGGTATAAATTCTTCGCAGCAGATTTGCTCCTCTCTCTCTCTCTCTCTCTCTCTCTCTCACTCTGCTTGATATAATAATAACATTTGTTAATGACAATATAATATCTATCTGTAGTGAATGCACCACTATGTGGTGTTAAATTCTTATACACGTATATGTCTTGTGCATTTGCATGTATATGTGCACATGCATTGAACTGATCTTCCTTTAGGCTTCAAATTTGCCTAAGAAGAAAGAGTATTCTCTACAACTTATTGTCTTCTTAGAAGACTAAAAATGAGGACACAAATTAAGCAATGTATGTTTGTTTGCTTTTCAGTGTTTTCTTATTTATGAACATTGTCAGTCGTTGATGTATGCAATTTAATGTAACAATCACATATCAATAGTTGATGATCACTTCTCGTCACAAGTGATTTAGAATCAGTAATATACATTTACATATATAAATGTGAAATCAGAGTAAGAGAAAAAGGAAGACAGCCTAGCTCTTATCTCTTACCAGAATGTTTTGGTCAGTAGGGATCATGTATAGTGACAGTGATAGTTTGATGATCATTGTGGAGGCTAATTAATTTGTGGTTAGTTTTCTAATTGGATGAAAAATCTTGAACATATATTTTATAACCTGGGCGCCTACTGGATGGCACAACACAATACAAGTATTTCTATCTAACTGTGGACAGGACATGAGCAGAAGATATTAAATTAATAAATATCTGCTTCCACCTTTTGACGGGTGCGCAAACCAATTTGGTGGTCAACAGAATTCTTTGGGGAAACCAAACAAAGCTTAGCTAAATCCTTCAATCTTTTTTATTCATACGTACATATAATTTCCCAATATTTTAGTGGAAGCAGAGAGTTTGGAGTGATTTTTGAACAGTCGAGTGATCCTTACTCTTTAGCCAGTCCTTTTTAATATTGCATGTCCGTACATTCACATCTTTAACACATGCAGGACTCGGGGATCCACAAAAAAAATTTGGGATTTCTTTGGTCTAAAGAGAGTAGCCAATTTTTGGCAAGATCTTCTTCTCTTCTCTGATTTATTATGGGAATTTGATCGTCTGCTTCTTCATCATCTCTCTGATTGATAAAATCTCAGTTCTCTAATTTATCTTTATCTTTTTATGTATAGAGAGAGAGAGAGAGAGAGAGAGAGAGAGAGAGAGAGATAGGGAGGTCGGTTGGGTGTAGATAGATATATAAATATAGTTGTTTAACTTTACGTAGAGTGTCGATTTTGAGAGTGGAAGATGATTTGCAGGGTGTGGGAATGCTGGGCTTTCGGGAGTCATTTGTTCCACTAAACGAGGTCGAGAGTTCCAATGAACCCAAGTGGGTAGAGATAGAAAAAATTAAGAGAGAGAGAGAGAGAGAGAGAGAGAGAGAGAGAGAGTAGGGTTGGCTTGGACTTCTCCCAGTTGGAATTGTGGGTTTTTGTCTCAGTACAAAGACTAAATTGGAGCTATACGTGTAGTTTTAGTATGACACTCGTGTCCCTTTAATCTAGTTTATCGTGATGTGATTTAACATTATTTTTTTATAATTATTGTGGTAATACTTGATTCTGAAGTGTTGGAATGTGGTGTTGAGAGTCAGAGTCAGAGTCAGACCATCCTAAAATGACCACTGCCAAAGGGGTGACAAACAACAACAGCTATATAGCTCATTCTTTAATTAATTTGTTTGCCTATGTTTTGACACATAGACTAAGACTAAACCTAACTAGCTATACCTTATACTAATTTATATAAGTATACCTTGTATCGTTCTCAAGATTTTTCTCTTTTCAGCCTCTCTTCTCTTCTCTTCTCTTCTGTTGTCTTTTCTCTCATCTTCCCAAAACTACATTCTTCTCTGCACAAATGAAAATCTAGAGAGAAGGATATAAGAGATAGAGTTGCACTACTTGGCTTTTGTTCCAAACCCTAGCTTTATAGTCCCCTAGGTAAACATTTATACTAATGTTTTCCTCTCTACTGGCCTTTTGCTTTTTGTTGAATATATTTGTCTTAACATTTCTGATATCTATGCGCAGGAGAGGTTTTTGATTCTTTAGAGAAGAGATTGATCAAAGAAAATGGGTTCCATGAATTCAAACAACTGGCTTTCCTTTCCTCTTTCTCCTACTCATTCTTCTTTGCCATCACAGCTCCATCCTTCTCACTCTCACCAATTCTCTCTAGGGTTAGTCAATGATTCTATGGACAACCCTTTCCAAAACCAAGGTAAAAACCCTCCTCTTCCTTTTCACTTTCACTTATTATTTTTGGGTCTTTTTTTTCTTCCCCTTTTCCTTCTCTCTATATGTAGCTCCTTCTCACTCAGTCTTATTGTACATAAACCTTGTAAATTTACAGAGTGGAATTTGATTAACACCCAAGGGAGCAATGAAGTTCCAAAGGTGGCTGATTTTCTCGGCGTGAGCAAATCCGAAAACCACTCAGATCTTGTGGCCTTCAATGATATTCAGGCCAACGATTCGGTCTCCGATTACTTATTTCCCAACAACAGCATAGTCCCAGTACAAGACACAGTTGTAGCCAATTCTAGCAGCTATGATTTCCAAGAAAAATCCAACAGCCTTCAATCGTTGACTCTCTCAATGGGAAGTGGCAAGGGCTCTTCAGCATGTGAAACCAGCACGGAAAATACCAGCATTGCGACTGTGGAAGCTCCCCCAAGAAGGACTTTGGACACATTCGGACAAAGAACATCTATTTATCGCGGCGTGACAAGGTGTGCCTATTTCCATACTAGCTAGCTCTCCTTTCAATTTTATTCCAATTTTGTTATTTTAATTATATAACATTTTAAACTTAATGTTTATGTCATTTTGAATAAGTGCAGGCATAGATGGACAGGAAGGTATGAAGCTCATCTTTGGGATAATAGTTGCAGAAGGGAGGGACAATCGAGGAAGGGCCGCCAAGGTATGCCTTATTCTTCTACCAGCTAGCTAAGCTAGGTTTCTTTTTTGCTTTGTACAGTTTTCTTTTTCCTCTAATGAGATCATTAATGCCACTGATCATTACCTTCATCTCGTTTCATGGTCATCTTTGTTTCCTACGTGGTCTTTGCAGTGTACTTGGGTGAGTTCCAATTTCTAACTAGCTATATTTCTTTATTCGCTTTATTCTAAAGTTAATGATTTTGAAATTTGTTTGGATATGAAGCAATTTATTCTTTATCCTTTTGGGAAATTTTCTCTTATTTCCTGTAGGTGGGTATGACAAAGAAGAGAAAGCAGCTAGGGCTTATGACTTGGCTGCATTGAAGTACTGGGGAACTTCTACTACAACCAATTTTCCAGTAAGTTTATGCCGAAAAGCGAATCAATTAGGAAATCAATGAAAAATGTGACAAGAATAAAATAAAGAAAAGAATAAGCAAGTGCAATGTTAATGTATATCAATGGCTTTTCAAGTGTCGTGCCTGTTGCAGATCAGTAACTATGAGAAGGAGGTGGAGGAGATGAAGAACATGACAAGACAAGAATTTGTGGCAGCCATTAGAAGGTAAGTAAATGAGATAGATCAGAAATCCCTTAAGCAAAATTTTCAGAGAATCTTTGTTCGTTATTTATTTATTTATTTATATAATGGAAGGTCTTCACTTTGCTTTTCACTTAATTAAATTTTCAGGAAAAGTAGTGGCTTTTCTAGGGGAGCATCCATGTATCGTGGAGTTACAAGGTACAAAAAAACTAGCTATAGCTAGCTAGGCATGCTTTGTCTCTTTGTCTCTCTCGTTGTCTCTCTTTCTCTCTCATAGTACAAAACAAAATATTTGTTCAGGCATCATCAACATGGAAGATGGCAAGCAAGGATTGGCAGAGTTGCCGGAAACAAGGATCTTTACTTGGGAACTTTCAGTAAGTCACTTAAATTACACCATGCACCCATTGCAATTAATGCATTCTATATATTTTCCACAACCAAACATACAAACCTAACAATACTTGTAGAGAAAAAAAAAAACATTCTGAACAAAACTATGTAGGATTCATGTAAAAGTATTAAGTTTGTGATAAGCACGGTATACGCGGTCAGTAAATATGAAACATCAAACATTACTTGGTACGTAGGTACTGAGGAGGAGGCAGCTGAAGCTTATGACATAGCAGCAATAAAATTCCGAGGCCTAAATGCCGTGACCAACTTCGACATGAGCCGGTATGACGTGAAGAGCATTTTGGAAAGCAACACCCTCCCAATAGGAGGAGGAGCAGCCAAACGTCTCAAAGAGGCTCAAGCCCTGGAATCTTCTAGAAAACGCGAAGAGATGATAGCTCTTGGTTCCACCTTTCAATATGCAGCTGCCGGAGCCACCAGCTCATCAACCTCAGCCGGTCGGAATTTGCAAGCATACTCATTGATGCAGCAGCAGTCAACCTTTGACCAAGCTGTACAGCAACCATCTCAGCCCCTACTTTCTCTACAAAACCATGATATTTCTCAGTACAGCCACCACCATGACCCTTCTTCATACCAAAATTACATCCAGACCCAGCTGCAGCTGCACCAGGCCCAGCAGCAATACCAGCCAACCCAGAACCCTCACCACCAGTTCTACAACAGCTATGGGCTTCAGAGCACACACCCAGCTTTGCTTCAAGGTCTCATGGACATGGGCTCTGCTTCTGGGGTTATGGATCACAACAATGGCAGCTCCAGTGGGAGCTATAGTGCAGGAGGGTATTTAGGTAATAATGGAATTGGGTTGGCTTCAAATTCATCAGCAAGCAATGCAGTGGGGTCTGCTGAAGAACTTGCACTTGTGAAGGTTGATTATGATATGCCTAATGGTGGAGGAGGGTATGGGTATTTTTACAGTGTGGAATGACTGAGAGGCATTTTGTTTGGGAGAATTGGTAATTTGTGATGTGGTTGAGGGGAGATTAGTAATTTTGTGATGGGAGGATTAAGCATGGTTTAGGAGCAATTTACTATCCCTATTTTTATTTTTGTTCTAGTATTTTCTTCTCGTTTTTGGGTTGAGAACTGACCATAAATTAATCCAATTGTGGGGTAAAGATCAGTAGGATCAGTAGTATATGGGTGCAAGTGGAAGTTGGAACCCTAAATTTTGTGTGCAGAAGAAGACCTAGCTATTGCACAACTGCTGATGTAATTCTACTTTTATTTACTGTATGGACTTGTTGCTTTTACTACCAAATCACAAAATGCCATTACAGTAATTCAACACAACTTTGTGTTTGTGTTTTTGTATTAGTAAGTTTTTTAGGACACCTTTAAAATCAGAAATTCAAAACTACCATCTACCAAAAAAAAAAAGGCTTGATAAGGTCCGGCCCGCTGGGAGTCCGAGATGACTGACCCGACCCACTTTAGACTCCTTCCCACATTCAATCACACCAACTTATTATTTAACCCTAGCGTGCTTACTTACGAGTTACCACCCCCTCTTCCCTCCTCCATCATCAGTGTTCTCTCATAGATGAACTTCTCGTTAATTCCAGTCTAATTGAGGCTGGTAGTTTCTCCTTTTTTGAAATTTTTTTGGAAGTAGCAGTTTTTTATCAACTTTTTGCTGATCGAAGTCATTAGGCAATCTGATTGATATCAGTATACTCTGAGTTTTAATTTCCATTCTTCTTTCTGTTTCATGTTTCTGTCCATTCTTCTTAAATTTGGGAAAAACAGTTGGAAGCTCTTTTGTTTAATCATTATGGAGTCCCTCAGCAGAGATTGTTTTATGATGACATGGGTGGTTGGTTTGTAGTTTATTTGTATTGCAAGTAATGGAGGGTTGGACCAAAATTTTGATTTGGATGAGTTTATCTATAAATATTTTTTTTTAAATGGAAGAAGAGAGAAATTATGATCCCTTAGCTTTGAGTTAAACATTGTACAATATAGTATAGAGGTCAGGACAAAGGTCTGTGACTGGCATTGGCTAAGCTTAGATTATACTGCTAATAACAGTACTAATTTATTTCCTTTTTGTCAAATTATCTCTGTATTTGAGGCTTTGAGTAGTGGTTAGCTGTTCATGTCTTTGAGTGAGGCTTCTGATACATATATTTTGGTTGATCTTTTCGTTGTTGAAATTAGAGTCACGGCTTTCAACATGAGATCAACATCATCTCCACTTCAATCACAAACCAATCCTACTATTGCCACGGAGGAGAAGCAAGAAGAAGAAGAAGAAGAAGATAGGATCAGCCAGTTGCCAGATGACATTCTTGATCACATCCTATGCTTCCTTCCTTCAAAGGCAGCCGCTAAAACAACCGTTTTGTCTTCAAGATGGAAGCATCTGTTTTGGTCTACAGTCACTAGGCTCAACATCAACATGCACAAAGAGTCCACCAAGCACAATGTGGAGCCAGCCATTCGATTATTTGAGGCTCTTTTCAAATGCAAGACACTTATTTCTGCTGATATTACCACCAACTTCTTCCATCTCCCAGAGATTATTTGTGTGCCCAAGTTGCAGTTTCTCCACTTAGAAGTCACAGAAAACATTGGCTCTCTAATGCAGGGTTTCCATAGGATTGTGGAGATGCAGCGCCGCAGTTGCCCGACATTCGAAGGCTTCATCCCCATCCTATCTGCAAACAATCACCTGGTATTGTGCAACACCAAAACACCAAGAGGGGAATATTTTTTGGAGATTGAAACCGTTGGGTCGCTTGGGGAGTTAGGATGTGCTGCTAAGAAGAGGAAAGAAGCTGCCTACGTATATGCTGATCGTAATTATAATATGGTGGCATATGGTGGTTAGTTTAGTAACTAGCTTGCTTATATTGGATTTGAATATTATATCATATTACAAATAACTAGCTTACTTCAAACACTCAAATTGGATTTGAATATATATCATAATATGATGCCACACATCAAGTGCTCATAATACTAACATGTTGCCCCTTCATCCAAGAGAGAGAGAGAGAGAGAGAGAGAGAGAGAGAGAGAGAAATGCAAACAAATTTTCAAGTTGGAAATAATTACAGTGCAAAAAGAGGTCTCTTCTAGCTTAAATCAGTAACCCTTAAACCTCCAAATCATGTCGTTTTGGAGAAGAATCTCTTTGAATGAGACATAGACAAGAATATAAACATTTTACAAATTGTGAAAGGCAATAGATGAACACAAAAATATAGAGAAAAAGAATTAAATTTGAATATGAAAATATCAAACCAAGCAATGCTGGAAAAATGAGAATCGAACCTATGACCTAGAATGCATGGATAAATATGCTCTTAATCATTTCAGCAACGTTTTTTTTGGTTCGTCCGAAATAATATTATTTGTTAACTAATGGTGGGCAGAATTGGGCCTCAAGCAAACCTTATTGCTCCAATTGGATAAGGCCTTCATCTTGGGTCAACTTTTTCTAGCATTCGACCTCTCATTTATTTATTTATTTTTCATGAAGAAGTTTATAGAAACCAGTTTAAAATGAAAAAAAAAAACCATCATCTAAAAAATTAATAAAATTCTGTTGAAAGTGGCGAATGCCAAATGCTATGATACAAGAAATGAAATCTATACAATTGAAGGAGAAGGTAATTCAGAGAAGCACAAGAAAAGCTCTGTCGCTCCGTAAATAATCTTTCCGTCTCTTACTTTGTGCAAGATTTTTGGGCTTTCATCAATTCACCGTTGAGGTAAGCTCTGCCAGATTTGTAAAATTCATCCTTTATTGCTTCTTTCCTTCAGTCGGATTTATCTTTTATTTTTTTCTGTGATTTCTAATTGGATCGCAATTAGGGAATTGGAAGAAAAATATTAATGTGTTATATTGGTCGTGTTGTTGATTAGTTGGGATTGGAATTGTGGTCCAGTTGCAATTTGCAGCTTACAATATGTGATTTTCCTTTTTCTTGTTTTCTTTTTTCTTTAAGGGCTTGTGATTCTGGAGGACCCATTGATGGTTTTCTGTAAAGTTAGCTCTTTTTTCTGGGTTTACACGTACATCTGTGACTTTTATTTCTGGTTGTAGGTGGTGAAAAAATAGGTTGAGTTTATATGTTCTGTGAAATTTGGTTTTCTATGTCAATATCACAAAGAAGGTGGGGAGTTTTAAGATTAGGATAAATGTTGTTTTTCAATCACTTTGGAGCTGAATCTTGTTTCTTGAGAAATTAAGCTTTTCTAAGACCATGGTTTGTGTTTGAAGTCAGCCTATTTTACTCTTTTTTGGTGGGAGTTTAAGATTAGGAGGAAAGATGGGTTTTTGCATGCAAAAACTTCATTTGTTTATTTGTAGTGAACAAAGGCAGGCGGTACTGCTCTTGTTTCCAGTAATAACTATCTTATTCTTTTAGTTTTCCAGCTTTACTATTGCATTGCTCCTGATGCCCAGGCAATACAAATCTATAGTATAACTGCCTTCAGTATAACACACATATCCTGATTTCTCTATCGGACAATCAGAACTCTGTTACAGCCATCACTGCTGGCATGCCGCGTTGGTGCATATCAATGTAGTATTGCTGCATATATTTATAGCTTTAGAGATGTGTATCAAGGAGGAGTACTAGATTGAGGAGAGAAAGCGTTGCACATTTCTAAAAGCATTAATATCATCTACCATTCAAAATGTGAAGAAATGCATAACATATGTGAATATCTACTCTGAAAATTGTAATATAAATTTTAAACCTAAGTTGGGAGCCATAAATACTAATCGAATAGGTCCATCCAGTACTCAACACTAAATTTAACTTTCTGGTACTCATAATTATATCTGTGATCTATCATTTGGATGTCTAGAGAAGTTTCTGATGTTGGATTCTTGTTCTTCTGTTACTGATAATGATTGTGCATGAAGTACAAATAGGTTATTGTAGTTATTTCCGTTGATAGCTGCATTTCTATGGGGCAATCAGACACACATATTACAAAGTAATTCAGTGTATATGTGGAAGAAACAGTGACCAAATTAAGAGTATTGTCATTGTGTAGTTTGTACTTACTTTTGAGTGGTGGTTCCCGACCAGATGATTGGCATCTTGTTTAGGCTCCTGTGTGAAATGATCAGTACTGTTTATTGGTTGTGGTTTGAGCAGTGATAGTCCCTACCTACAGATATCATTTACCGTCCCAAACTGTCATTGATCGCATCTTGTGAATAGTCAAATTGATTGCAGCCTTGAAATGGTTTAAAATCAACTAAATCCTTAGCTATGAGTTATCTCATAGTTTTCCCTCTTTTCATTTATGAGTTCCTTACAGGAATTGGAGAACCAACTTTACGTTTCTGATTTGTAGTGTTTGTTTTCACAGACTAAAATTATCTTAGTATGTGTTCTTACTGTTCAGAAATTAAACCAAATTATATGCTCTTACTCTTTCTGCTGAGAACTAATATAATGTTCTGTTATCAGCATACGAGGTGACAAACAAAGTGATGGTGAAAGCATACACGCAAGAGTACACATACAAGCACCCATGGGAGAGGGTGACTTCTGCATCTTGGAAAAAATTTGCTGATCCTGAAAACAAACGCACTTTGTCACATATCCTTGAAGTTGACACTCTGAACCACAAGCTTGATCCTAGTACTGGAAAGCTTTACACCACACGTGCAATCACTGTCCATTCCCCAGGACCATGGTTTGTTCGCAAAATTGTTCGCCAGGATGTCTGCCACTGTGTTGAATCAACGGTTGTGGATGCGAAAGAACGATCAATGCAACTCACCACCAACAATATCAGCCTCGAAAAGTTTATAGAGGTGGAGGAGAAGATCAGGTATGATCCCCACCCAGAAAACCCAGATGGGTGGACAATCTGCCGACAGGAGACTAGTATCCGAATCAAACCATTATCAGCATTGGCATCGATGGCAGAAAAGGTTGAACAACGCTGTGCTGAGAGGTTTGTACAGAATAGTGCAAAGGGTAGAGAGGTTATGGAGAGGATATGCAAGTATCTTGAAGCTGAATCTAAAGGGCTTGCTAGATCATAGGGCATGTGAACTCTTTC